TCCATATACACTGTTTTGCATACAGATTCTTGGCATAAGGAGGGTTAACTAGCAAGTGGAATAACCTGCTGGTGATCTGTATTGTTGAAGAACCAGGGAAATAAAATGCTTGGAGCCGCTTTTCCATTTCAAAAAAAGACTTGGAGCTGCTTTCCTCAGTTTTAATTCTGTGAAACTTGCCTTCATTGTTTTTCTTATATAAGAAACACTGGTGGATTTTTTTATGTTGGAGTAAAAGTACTTGTTGTTGCCTTTCAGATGGCCCAAAAAGAAAGTGCAACAAATTTTATAGATGTTGAAGGTGAATCCACAAAAAGATAGAACATTGTTTAGTTGTAGTTCTTTGACATCCATACCTGGTTAATTTGGTATATTATCATTTTGATGTAAGCCTATAGCAATCTAAAGTTGGATCTAGCTGAAAAGTTTTTCACTGTGTACTAGTAAGAATATTTAAATTCAAAATTTCTTGTGCTATGATGTTGTGAGGCTTTAGGGAGCCAAGACGGTGTGTACAGCTCTTAGGCATACACAAGCTTCGCCGTAGGCACAACACAAAGAGGCAAGTTAATGGATGAGACAAGAGAAATGCAAAATTTTCCAAAACATATTAAATCCCGTGTTTTAGGATCACAACATTTTTTTTGTGATAAGAGTAGTAAGATCATTTATCTTACTACCATTTAGCACGTTCAACACATACTTAAATTTAGTATTTTAGGATCATAAATTTGTGTGGCTAAACCATTCACGTCGTTCTTGCCCCCTTAAGCACAAGAAAGGTTTGTTTGGCCAAAAAGTAGTAGTCATCAAGCGTAACAGATGAATAGTCAAAATTGGTCTTGATCTGCTAAGTTTCACATTAGATGAGAAATATTATTTTTTATTAGGTATATCAAGAGAAGATGGGATATTTCATGCGCAAGATTAAGCCTTCAGTCTCAAAGAGTTTCTTATTTGTTACGAGAAAGGTTTTCCTTTTTTGGCTAGTTAATTATTTGTTACGAGAAAGGGTTTCCTTTTCTAGCGAGCTAACATATCGATTAACTTCCGGTAATCAGTTTGACTTGACAGATTGCATGCGCTTGCAATCTCTCTACCTTTTTATTTTTGCTGTATATGGTCAGGTATATACCTATAACATTGTGCGTCACTGGTAGCCGTATTAAAGTGACTGACTTATACATCGACTTTGCAGCCTCATGTACGGTGCTGAGGATCCATCCATTGCTGGAATGGTTTTAGACAGCCCCTTCTCTGATTTGGTTGATTTGATGATGGAACTTGTAGACACTTACAAAATCCGGCTGCCCAAGTTCACTGTAAAGTTTTATAGTTGAAATATTTTTATCTGGTGCATTTTGAAATGTACTTTCTGTGTTCTTTTCTTGGGTTATTCTCATATTTTCTCTTTGCAACTGAAGGAGTGGCCTTCTTTTGTTCTGTTTTCTTCCTAATTCATTGCTCTTTCTAAGCTTCCTCCTTTCCTGTTATTTTAGGTAAAGTTTGCAATCCAATATATGCGCAGAGCGGTTTTAAAAAAGGCGAAGTTTGACATAACCGAGTTGAACACAATTAAGGTATTTCCTCTGGAAGGTGTTTTACGTATGAGTTCTGATAATATGATTTTTTTATGTTTGACAACCTTCAGCAATTGAGAAATAGAACAGTGTGTAAGTGAAGATACTGTAGGAAGTTTTCCTATTAGTATCAAGTTTTTTTTGGTGTAACGTTTTTGGAAGTGATAGTTTCATTTGTTTTTTAAAACAATTTTATTGACCATCTTTGATCGTTTCTTTATGCTAAATTTTATGTAGGTGGCAAAGTCATGCTTTGTCCCTGTTTTACTGGGTCATGCTGTTGATGATGATTTTATACAGCCCCATCACTCTGATCGTGTATTTGAGGCGTACATGGTAACTGTCTAATTTACCCCCTCCCCCCCTTCCGGAAAAAAGGAGAAAAAGAAAAGAATTGGATAGCCTTTTTTTTCTTTTGTTCTTAATTTTACAGACTTTATGGGTGTAAAGGCATGTCAAATGTTTCTTTTTCTTCTTGAAGTGGATCTCTGGGTTTAGAACGCCAGTTCTTTAGTGCTATGCTCCTTTATGCGCTATGTAGCAGTTAACTTTGTGTTTTATAACACTTTTCCTTCTTGTAACTGGTATTTATTGCTGTTTGTCCAGAAATGACATATGCCAGTATATCCCATCTTGTTTCTTATTGTTTAGTGAACTTAATGTTGGCAGGGGGACAAGAATATTATAAAATTTGAGGGTGATCACAACTCTCCACGTCCACAGTTTTATTTTGATTCTATAAGTATCTTCTTCAACAATGTTTTGCAACCACCAGAGGATGAAGCAGTGGGTGCATTCTTTGACATGCCACAAGATTATTTTGGCAAGGTATAGTTCTATGAATCCATGTCATTATTGGTTCAAGTGCGTGGAAACTGCTGAGTTAGGCTAATAACTCATTGGATTCAAACTCTAATTATTTCCAGGGCAGTTGGAGTACAGTCCATGAAGTTGACTTTATGGATGATGTCCATGATGGTATTAGTCTTTTCTTCTCTTTTATTTCCAGCAGCTGTTTCATTTCCTCCAAATTTTTATCTTAGAGAAGGGGAGAACGGGTTTTATGTTGATTCTTCATGCTATACAAATATCGACTGTTATTCATGTTTAATTTGTTATCAGTTGCAGCTGCACCAACTAGTAGCACTGAAGATGTAATAAAGCAGGTTCGCTCCAAAAGACCCATGAGTCGGACAGAGGTAACAGAAAAACCTTCAAGTTGTTGCTTTGGTTGGTAAAATAGATGGCATGAGCTCAATTCTATTACGGAAAAGTTTGGGGGTTTTAAGAGGAGAAACTCAAGTGATGGAAAAGAAATTTATACACGGACGCGTATGCTTGAATAACTTGTCAGAGTTGAAAAGAGCAGGTGGAAATGTGTAGTTACTGACTGTTGAAGATATAATATTAAGAATAAGATTTTTGTAGTAACTTAACATTTTAGATAATATGGTCTCACAATTCAACATGGTATAAGGTCTTGGATTCAAGTATCACCTCCACCAAGTATTAAAAAGAATTTCGATGTGCTTGATCGGTGCGAAATAATCAGGCCAACACGTGAGGGGACGTATTGAAGATATAAATATATAAAAGTGTGCTCTCTCTAGCAGCTTAAACTTTTAGATGAGATGTTCACACAATTCAACAGTTACGACATACATGCTTGTAACCAAATGCATGTTAGTGTAAATCTGCAATTTCCCTTTTCTTTCTTTGAAATTATAGAATTGGCTGATTCAAAATATATTCTGATGTGACCCATATTTTACATAGCATAGTCAAAAGAACTTTTGCATTCATAGGATGTTTTTTCTCTATACACCCATTTCTATGGAACTTCTTTACCTGAGTTGGTTTATAGAACTGTGCTTTCCTTTCTGTGACATACGACAATGCACGATCTGACCCCACTATTTGCTTAACTTGTGTCCACTACATTGTGCATTACACTTTATTTATTTATTTATTTAATAATAATAATTATTATTTTTTGCATAAGGAGACTTTGCTTTTCCTTGCCACTGCTTCCTCATGCTCTATTGCAGACAATCTCATGTTCCCCTTCTGCTCTCGCCTCTGGATCTGCAATCGTTACACAGCTACTCCTTCCCCAGATCTTTTGCTTTTCTTTGCCAATATTTCCGTTTCTATGCCATTCTTTTGGTGAAAAAAGAAAGCTCTCCTATTATTCCCCTTTCCTTTACTAGTTATATTCAGTTCAGATTGCTTATTCGCACCACAATCTTGACCTCTGATCAAGCTATGTACATGGGTAGATAGGCAGTTAGGGGAGTTTTTTTGGGTTTGGGGTGGGGTGGGGTGGAGAGGGTCGGTTGGCCTGCCGTTTCAATCGATCTCCTGCCGCTTGGTGCCGCTGTTAGTTCTAGTGGTAACGAGTCTTGGTCTCGTCACATAGAAGTTGGGGCAAAGGAAGAACAAGGATTTCATCCAAGGTGCCTCCTTTGGGTTGAAATTCAAGCTTCTCCTTTAACAATTCAGAGGTGATTTTTTCCCCAAGTTAAGATATGGCAGCTAGACATGCCCAAGTCATTACCATAGTGGCAAGGAGATTGTGGCAATTGCAGGGCTAGTGACTGGACAGGAATCATCCCACCCCCTCTGTTGAGAAAATTCCATTCAAGGTTGAATGATATTTCATTTGGTCTTGGAAGAAGAAGTTTAGGGGGAGATCCGTGCTGCTGAGGGTTTTTGTGATGGAAAAGGAGTGATCAAAGGCAAGAAGCTACTTTAAAGGGGACAGTTAGGGGTGAGTGGGTGACAGAAAGGGAAGGGAAGGGGCAAGTGTCTACAGGGGTAATCCCAGGATGGTGGATGGGGAAAGGAGGATGAGATCAAAACAGAGAAATGCTGAGGATAAAATAATTTTTTTTTTGGCTCTTTATACATTTTCAACCATGAACTGCGCTAACCCCAGTTAATGCGTCTGGTTGGATTCGAGTGCTTTAGGCTTCTGTGTGTCTACGTGGTGAGAAACATAGATATGAGAGTATAGATCTGTCATGAGAAACCTTTCTAGTAAATCTCTATTGCATATCTACCGTCTGCTAAATTAATCAAATCATCTCTGTTGCATGTCTACAAAAAACCGTGCTTACTCATGAAAAAGTCTATCCTATGTTTTCTGTCTCATTCTTGTTTATTTCAATTGGTTCAGGTCCCGTCTGACATATCTGCGCAGGATAACCAGACTGAAGACCAGGTAATTCCACAAATTTTGGAATTATTTATGGAGATTTTAACAAGGAAAACTTTCTTAAAATGCTTATATTCCCCGAATGTTCTTCCATAAAATCAATCACCTGAAATATCCACTTTAACTGGAAGGAATTAGTCTGCTTCAAGAATTTATGGATATGCTTTCATGTTTCTTTGGCGATTCGGCCTCCCAATAGAGTTTGACAAAAGATGCCTGTATTAATTTTTCGATTTTGAAATGTTCGTATGGCTGGGCAAAAGTAATTTCTGCTACTTCAACTAATTCATAGTTTCATACATATTTTTCTCCAGGAAGAAGGTACTGGAACCGACTCTGTCCCATCATCTTCAAAAATGATCAGCTTTGAACTTTCCAATGGTGACCCGTTTGGTCCCAATGTTCCTGCATCAATAGATGATGATGACTATGTGGAATACTCACTTGATAGTTTGGCAGATTTTCCTAGTAATGTGGAGGAAGAAGAAAGGGTAAGTACGTTGAGGTTTACAGGATTTAGTCGCTTAATTGTAGGCTTCAGTATTCTTTCTATTCTTTCACTATTTGACCTTTTGTCCGTTGACAAAATATCAGATGTTAATGAAAGCAGTACTCGAGTCTTTAAAAGATTTGGAGGTAAAACCTCCCCCTGCCGAGCAAGTGTCCTCAAAAGTTGTCGAAGTACTTCCTCAACCTTTGCAGGACAGTAAAGATGAGTCAGCTTCTTCAAAGCAATGTACTCCATCGAAAGAAATTAGTGCTAGTGCCATAGTTTCTAATGGACATGATTCAGACACCAAAGTCCAAGNCTGTCAGGGGTGGTAAGTTGTGGCAGGTGGTTGTGGGAAATGGAGGGGGTGGGTTCGGTTGTCGCTGATTTACATAGGTTTTCCTTGTTTGGTACAAGTGATTCAGCTTGTATATGTATTCCCAATGTGAAGAAATTAGGCTCATAGGCCCATTGTTTGTTGTAAGTTCTGGATTACCAAAATGTGTTATGTAGATGTACAGGTGATGTGCACAATTTTTTCATGACAGTCTTGCAATTGTTAGCACTCAACTTTCTCTATTTTATTCAGTTTTATAGTGTTTGTGTATTGTATACAAATGGAACACATCTCATTTTTTCAATATGGAAACATGCTTTTACCTTTTAGAACTCTGAAATTCTGTCAGTGTCGATGCTATTTATTTGAAGTATTCTCTTTTGGGATCTTTACAAATAGCCGACTGGATTTACGGTTTACTTTTTTCTAGCAAGATACACTGATTGTACACGGTTATACATATTACATACGGATTATACATATATTATACTTACACTAACTATTACTCTTACTCAATTAGTTAAATAGTTGGGTTGTCGGCTATTTAAGTTAATTCTTTTTCTCTGGATTGGATAAACTAAACATTATCTTCAAGCAGGTAAGCAATGCTTATCTGCTAGAAGTAATTTAGAACTGCACCACATAGCTTTTTGTCATGTAATCGATCAATCAATCAACTATGTCTCAATCTAATGGAAGTTTTTGTTTCCAACAATTACTAATTTATCAAAACAGTGTTGAACCCTATGTTACTGCTTTCATCGTCCGCTCCCACATTTGTCAAATAGATTTAATGGTCAGCATATCCTTGAACTTTTTAAATTGTCTACTGTTGTGTACTTCAACTACGTTTTGTGCCAAAAGTGAAGGGCATAATGAGTATAAAGATTCCTCAGAACATTTCTCAGATGTTGGACATTTATGCTTGCTCTCATCTGCCAAAAATTGATACTAAACACAAAATGTGGTCGTTTGCCTTTTGCGTGGTCATATACTTCCTTTCATTGGTTTTTAACTTATAATTTATTGTGATCTTGTTTGGCAAATTTTGGCTGGATCTTTGCCATCTTTATACTTTGCTCTGTCAAATAAAAGCAGTATAAAAATAAACAGCAGCGGAACTTGTTGCGAATTACAATATATTACTGTAACTTATGAAATGTTTCTGTAATAGCTCTCTACATAATAATGTTAAATTAGAGAAAAAGAAGGCTCTACCATATACTTAAATATTTACAACAGTATTGGATTTGAATGGCTAAAGTATTATTAACCTGAAACAGTGTTTGTGCAATAACTGTTGAAGTTTCTGTCACTCCTTTTCCCCAGCCAACAACTTCATTGCAGTATCAACCAGCGCATGAATTGTCACAGTGTGTCGATTCATTCCAACTGTTCCTGAGAAAACATTAAAGCTCTCTAGCTCTGACGTAGTTTCTATAATGTACTCCATTTCCTTATCCATTCCCAGATTTCTGAACACTTGAATGTTTGTTCTTTTATCTCTCATCATCCAGATCGACAACTCTATGACAAACCTCCTAATTCTTGGAACCTTAATTGATGGATGTTGATGCTTCCTAAGAATCTCAACAAGTTTTGCAGCCAATTCAGCTTCTTGAATTTTCGCTCTCTGGAACATGATGCTCGACTCTTCTGGTGTTGTAAACTTGAATATATGTGCACCTACTCCCATCATTACTTCCTGTAACTTGTTTTCCTCTGTCATTATTGCTTTGAGTACCTGAAAAGACAAAATTCAATTAACCTGCAGTATACTATTAGGAACTGAATGAATAAGTTTTTGTATGGTACTTACAGTTGGTCCTGCAACAGCAAGTTCCCTCAATTCTTCAAAGTAACCTGATCCACTGTAGACACATAAGTTTCTCAAGATTCTTGCTGCATTTACTCGAAGCAATGGAACTTCCAATGCTTCGACGAGCTTTCCAGTGACCTTGAGTTTCAATATCCTATGGCAATTGTTCTTGCTTTCAAGTGCCAGCATAGCTAGTGCTTCTCCTGCTGCACTTCTTACTTGACCATGATTGTTCGGTATGGACTCCTTGAGGAAAATGTTGCACAACTCCTTAAGGATTCCGCCGGTGCCTCCAATTCTCTCTGTTGCATCATCTTCTAATGCAAGACTTTTCAAGATCTCTATTCCCAAGTGTTGTAGAGTAGGCTGTCTCACCCCATATCTTAATAAGTCCCTAATGTTGCTAATAGTGAAAACTATTTCTGAAATCTCTCTCCTTAGCTCTTTACCTGTGGCGCCTGCTGTGCTCGCCAACATCTTTACGACCTGAAGAGATCGTTTTAGTGTCAATATCTGCGTTGGTGTTGCTGATTCATCTCTTAGTAATCTCTCTCCTGCTTGTGTGAACTCTATAATTTTGGGCAGAAGACCTCTAGTATTGCCTATTTTTCCACAGTTATCGTGGTCGCGAGCAAGTTTCTTTAAAATCAGCAGCCCCAAATGATTGAATATCCAAAATCCATAATTTTCATTGTCAAAGATGATTCTCTTTTCACATATTTCATCATTTGCTCCAGTAGGCCCTCTGCTGATTTGGAGAAGTGAAGATATGGACTCCATAGCACCAGGTATACCCGCGACACGAAGAGAATTTTTCTTTTTACCAGCAAGCTTTGATATAATCTCTGCTGCTGATAGCCTTAACTCTTCTTCTTGTATGTCTTTCCAATTCAGCATCTCAACCAACCTTTCCATTACTACTATGTTTGTTCCAATCTTCTGAAGTGTGTCATCACAAAACCGTGGACTCGTAGCAAGTTTTCGCAAGATTTTAGCACCGATGAGTTGCTCATCAGGTGAGTTAGAGGCTAAGAGTTCAATAGCAAATGAAACCATATCCATCTTTAGACCATCAAATATGCTCCCATTAACACTTTTCGAATAAGCATCATAAAAAAACCTTCTGACTGAAGTCATACCTGATGGCCCCAATTCACACTCTTTATTCACCTTCTCCAACAGACTACAAAAGTTGATCTTCCATTCCCAATAGGCTTTTTCCAAGAGAAAAAGCAATGCCTCCGTGAAGGCGAGAGAATAGAATATAAGTAGAGCACTTTTCCTATTCCTCTTATCGGTATCTCCTTTGGCCACTTCACCAAAGTTCCTTAATACAAGCTTCATTAATGATAGCACCAAACATGCTGTTGCAGATAGTATTTGGAGCCAATACAGCATTTTGCTAACATTTCTTGCTACGAACATCCATCTCGCATATGGAAGCAGAGGAACCTCAGAACTAGTCCACGTTCGAGTTGGCTGCTTCTGCTTATTCCACTGTGAATTCCTTGCAATTTCTCTGTTGTTAACATGCCTGCTTCCCTTTGTAACATCAGAAATAGGCTTGAATATTGCTTTAGCAGCATTGACAATGGTTCTTGTGCTGGATTTGATCGCGCGAAAGCTACTGATTCCAACATCAGCAATAGACCATGTTGCTTGGTGTTGCCACTCAAGCTCATGACTCCTACTAAAGATTCTTGTTCCTTCTATTAACAGTATAGTAGTTATGACCCAAAAATCTGATGTATTCAAAGTGATAGCAAAACCGCCGAGAAGAACAACTGTTGCCCATATGAAACCAAGTGTTCCTAGTCCAGTTGCTGCTTTTTCAAGCACTGCTAACCTCAGAGCAAAAAGGGTAATCTTTTTCTCCGGTGCACGAATCGTTGGTCTTTTCGGAGAAACAGAATTTGTTGTGCTGCTGTTCTTTGTCTCCATTGGACTTTGAGGTTCAAAGATTGTTGGACCTCCACTTTCTGTCATACTTAACCTTCCATTAAGTTCATTTATCTCTAAATGAACACTTCCTTCGCTCTCTATCGATGATCTACGATCCATTTTTCTCTTTTTTTGGACCAAGAAAGATTGAAATTTTGGCTATACAATGGTAAATTTCGTTAGGGAAAAAACTCAAGAAAGTAGCACTTATGACATGAAGGAGTTGAGGTTTGAAGGAGAGAATGTTGTGTTAATGTGTTGATAAAAATAGTTTATATATATGTAGAGAGAGACAGAGAAAAGAAACTGAGCTTGGAGTACACGTTTAAGTTTTGTGGAAATGAGGAGGAAAGACAAACGTTAAGTTGCGTCTCTTTCCGCTATTTTTTCAAGGAAGTTAGTTTTTCAAGTTTCTGCTTTGTTTGTTTGGCTCCTCTGCTTTTAAGTTTGGCAACAGAGTTTTTCACTATTCTGGATAAACGGCCTATTGCAAAAAATAAAAATAAAAATAAAAATGCGTGACTTAAAAAGATAATATTAGAAAAAATTGTTAAAAGACCTAAACCCCAATGATTAAGGTTTAGCGGAGCTGGCCAAGGGTGATTACTTGAACACCTTTTGAAGAAAAATTATATAAAAATATTTACACAATCAAGTAAATATATCATGTTTGGTGTCGCTCCTTCAATCTAGTCTCGGACAAAAATCAATATATAAGGTGAGGGTTACTATAATCAGAGTCATGGTTACTAATAATGCAAGACTGGACTAGAAAAAAGTAGCAGCTATAAAGTAAAATGTAAAAGCCATTTTCCCCATTAATTTTGGATAAAGTTGTTTCTCCTTTATCTAACGAATTCTCACACATTTTTTACCTGATTTTTCCTTATCAGGAGTTTCTTCTTGTAAAAGCAAACTTTATAAATAAGCTGCATATATACAGTTTAATAAGAACGGCAGCACCTAAAATAGTAAGTTATTTATGACTATTCTAAACTAGTTTGAGCCCATGATGTGGGAAGTGTCATTTTCTTGGGGAACAAGCTACTGTCAAATAAGATTTATATTAGTTAGGGATCATTATGATCTAATACCAGGGGCAGAGCTACAGTAATGGGTGCGAGTTCGGGCGAACCCAGTGATTTTTTCCGAAACCCTTATTTATATTGAAATATTTACTAAATATATACTGTCGAACCTAGTAATAAAAGGGGTATTGGTTCAACGGTAAGGGCTCTAGGTTCGCTGGAAAAGATGAGGGTTTGATTCCCGCTGAAAGCAGTGTTTTATTTTAAAATTTAAAACTCACGCATTTCAAATCCTAGGTCCATCTCCGTCTAATACATCGTTCTTCCTCTGCTTGTATATAACTTAATGTATTTCTATTTGTTTTGAAGTACTTATAATTACGTTTATAAAAAATATTTCACTGCATTAAACTCTAGCTACATGTGAGATTTAAGAAAGAGCTGAATCGTATTTGGTCTATCGTACATGTTTTTATTTTGCATCTTTTTAATAGGCTGTTTTGACTTTTCCAAATATTGATAGGTTTATATGCTCCACTTATGAACATGGCGAAGATTTTCCACCTTCAATTATTAGCAGTGCGAAGTTAACTCAAAAAACTTGTACTTCCAATAATTTGGCAATTACAAGTGTATCTTTAGGCCATATCGATCAAAACACGTCTAATGGTTCAAAGTCAAGGAGAGAATTATCATTAATGCATTTACCCAATTTGTCATAAAATAATTAATTTGGTACTTTTTTGGTTATTTCTGTGATAATTATTAGTGCAAAACTTAGACATGATAAGTACTAATTTAGCATCTGAATTGTCGTATAATAATGTGGAAAACAGGCAATTGAGCTGGTCTTGTGGCTTGCAAGATTGGACTACAACAAGTCTTCTTGTGTCAAGTTAAAGTCTTGTAACAAAGTCTCCATTTCATTTTTCCTTTCCAATCACACAACTTCAAATCATAAACGAATGGTATTTTTAAAATATATTCAAAATCATTATTAAAAGAAAAATAGATTCTAAAGTTGTTCTTATATATATATGTCCAAGGAAAGAAATACTAACTAAATTTTATATTTGTCATCAAGGAAATTATTTAACGGTTATGATCGCACAATTTGAACCATAGTGTCACAAGTTTAAATCTAAGTAACTTTCCACAATTCGAATCATAATGCCTCAAGTTTGAATGTCAGTATTTTCCAGAGTACTGAACTTTCCCTTCTTTCCTCTTAACATTATGAGAAGAATTGAATGAAAAAAAGTTTTGGTTGATAATTGTTATGTAGACGTGGGGAGGTGATACTTAGAAGACAAGTGAATTATACCAATTCATGGCTGCAGAGAGTTTCCTTTTGTTGATGTCCATTAAACATATTGCTTGTCGTCTAATTAACAATGCCTTTTAATGTATTTCTATTCTGTTCATTAAAATTGGTTGCTTATCGAGCTTCAATATGTATCCAATAATGAGAATTGTAGGGGTTTAATTTTCAGATATAAGCAAGGAATATGAATATGATCTGGACATTACCATGTAACTCAACCATTTATCAATTATGGGATCGTAGTAATGACTTTATTATCCCTTGGAGTCATCTCCTAATTTGAAAGCCAAAGACGTTTTAAAACAATTGTAGTAATAGTTATTGTGCTCGTCACAATTCAAATTACTTATGATTGACTTACAACCTAAAAGGCTATTAAGCCAAAGGAAAAAGAAAAATAGAAGTATGGGCAGTTTTTTGTTAAAACTTTTAATCCTCCAAAATGACCGAATAATAAATAAAATCTCGTTTCCACCTTGACATCATATGGCTTAAATTATTAGTCTTTTATAATAGATGAATCTCTATATACTTGATTCGTTCAAAAAAAAAGAAGGAAAATTACCAACTATATCCATCTAGAAGTATCTTATTACAAAAATTGGTCAATTTATAAAATATTATTAATATTAGCCAATTAGCTACTTGTAGCTAAATAAAAGTCAAAATTTTATATTCTTTTGAATGAATGTTATTAGAATAGATTGAGTACATCTTAAGGAGCTTGAATCTAAGTTTCGAGATAATTTGGTGGAGTTTTGAGGTGGCTTGAATTGAAAATTCGAAGTAGAAGATAAACATGAAAAAAATAATATGTGTATCACACTGTGTATCATTTGTGTATCACATATGTATCATATTTGTATCAAATATATATCACATGTATATCCAGGTATATCCGTATGAGAGATACATGTGTGATACATGTTTGATTCATGTGTGATAGAAGAATTTTTGGAACTAGATTTTAACAACGAATTTTGATATCAAATCAGTCCAAATCAACTCCAATCTTCCTCAAATTTTATATATTGACTCATCTATATGCTTTCAATGAATTNTATATATACATATTATGTATTTCATCACTTTATTTGTTACCTCATCCATGAAATTTCCTTTCCATCTTATATCTAATGTTGCTAATCATGCTTTAAAATATGGAATGAGAACTTTGGTGTGATTCTTGGAGAAAAAACTTATTTATTCGAGTTTTTAATTTTTATATATATGTGCTTGGCTAATTTTGGTAAGTCTATGACTAAGGCTAGAGGTTGGTATGTTGGAACTTATTTGGGACATTTCTGTAAGATTTTCAAAATAATATGTGTATACGGGTGAAACCGAGCCCGTGGTACACCTCGATTTCTGATGAAGTGAACAGAGCAAGAAACGTAAAGGCAAGGAACCGGAATCGAGGCAAGGAGCCCCTTGATCCGGGGTCCGGGAAAAATACCCGCCCTTGGGAGTATCGGGGCCATGACCCCTAGTCCCGGTTCGAACCCCAAAAGCCTCGGTGAGCATTACCAGATAACCGAGCATGACCAACAAAAGGCCGCGATGTCCGCGACTTGCCGGATATCATGGCGTGGATCTCGGCACATATCGGCAGAGAATCGGTGATTAGTTAAACATAAGATTTTTACCTTTTATGGAATTGTACTTAGGATAAAACTCCCCTACTATATAAATGAGGGGTCTGATTATTCATTAGGGACATTGTAACATGCGCATCAAGGCAATATACTCTTATTTTCTCTGTTATTCAAAGTTCTCACTTTTGTTCATCAAATCATCAGTAATATGAGCCCGGGTTCGAAGGCAGGCATTCCATAAGCTGTTACTAAGTCCGGGATCACTCCTCTTGATTGGTTTGACAATTTATCACGTCCTTTATCTGTTTAATCTAACGCAATTTATCGTTTGTATTGAATTAATTCACGTATTCTTAAAACTACTAACAAATTTAATTGTTATCCGTTTTTGAGGATAAACAGTTTGGCGCCCACCGTGGGGTTAAGGATAATAGTGGCAATTTGATACAAATTTTCATAACACACTCTATTTTACACTTGTTCTTTGAGCTTTTATTTTCAGGTCATATTAAAAATGACGAACTCCCAATCTGCCCATTTGAATGTGGATGTTGAGTCCGGCCACCATGGCAAAAACAACAATGTGGTACCCAACAATGAGGCAACGAAGTACCGGTCGCTGATCCGATCGATGCTAACTCACACGTGGCTATCGAAGCAAACTTGCCTACTGACCCCGAAAACAGCATTCGCGGGGGAGCCCGATCGATAGCTCGGAGTACACACGACGACGAAGGTGACGAGATCAACTTGTGTGTGATCTTCGAAATGTTACAGGCTTAATAGGCAGTGATAAACCAATTGCAGAACCAAAGCCGAGCCCCCAATAGAGTTGAGCCCGAATCGTCCCGAGAAAATGCCCACATAAATGAACCGCCCACAAAAAGGCGGGGTGAAGCAGAACCGGGGACCAACCCCGACATAATAAAAATGCTTGAGAAACTGACAAAACGGGTGGAATCAAGAGAAAAGAAAACCGAAGCCAACGACAAAAAAGTGGAGCACCACCGATACTGAAGGGCCTGGATTCCAAAAAATTTGTCCAAAAACCTTTCCCTCCGAGCGGAGCTCCGAAGCCGATCCCAAAGAAGTTCCGTATGCCCAAAATTCCGAAATATAACGGGATAACCAATCCCAATGAACATGTGACCTCTTATACGTGCGCCATCAAAGGAAATGACTTGGAAGATGATGAAATCGAAAGGCATTGCTTCGAGGTCGGAAATGCGCTACGCCCACCCCAAAGGTCTAGATCAAGCCAAAAATGAGGGCTCGACCCAATA